AGTATGCTTTATCCTATCCTTGTTTTTCTCAACAGACATCAGTGTCTTGACGTGTATTAGGACATTAGTTATTTGTACTCCAAAATTTCACTTTCCATTGAAGAAATCTTGCAAAAGCTGTTGAACTTTAGGAATCCTCGTAGACCCACCAACAAGAACAACATCATGGACAGTGTTCTTGTCTATCTTAACATCCCTTAAACACTTCTTAACAGGCTCCATACACTTCCTAAATAGATCCAAGTTAAGCTTTTCAAATCGAGCATGGGTAATGGTAGTGTAAAAATCAATACCCTCAAACAATGAATCAATCTCAATAGTGGTTTGAGCTGTAGAGGAAAGTCTCATCTTAGCTCTTTCACAAGAAGTTCTCAACCTCCTTAGAGCCCTGGGATTTCCACTAATATCCTTCTTATTCTTCCTCTTAAACTCTTGAACAAAATAATTCACCATTCTGCTATCAAAATCCTCACCTCCCAAATGCGTATCACCAGCAGTGGCTTTCACTTTAAAAACACCCTCCTCAATAGTAAGCTGCGAAATATAAAAAGTCCCACCACCAAGATAAAAAATAAGAACATTCTTCTCACCAGTACTGGTAGCTTTCTTATCAAGCCCATAAGCAATAGTAGCAGCAATGGGCTCATTTATGATCCTCATCGCATCCAGCCTCGAATCACATAAGTATCCTTAATAGCTTGACGTTGTGAATCATTGAAGTAAGTAGCCACAGTAACAACAAAATTCTTAATTATTGTTCCAAGATAAGCCTCCATGATCTCCTTCATCTTCATAAGAATCATGGAAGATATCTCTTCAGCAGAAAATTGTTTCTCTTCAGCTTTATAGTTCACCACAATCATCGGCTTGTCACCAGGACCAAGAATCACCTTGAATGGCCATAGTTTCATGTCACTTTGTACCAAAACATAACTAAACCGTCTTCCAATTAAACGCTTAGCATCAAAAATAGTGTTGGTAGGGTTCATAGCAACTTAGTTCTTGGCAGCATCATCGATCAAGCGTTTTGGTTTCTTCTATGGCCTCAATGGCTCCAATGGTTTCGGTGATGGCAGCTCTGGAAGTGACTCTGATGGTTTAGAGTTCATATTCGATGATGATTCTACTACATCCTCCTCAACAGTTGAAGATGTCGTTGTCGTCGATGATATCAGAGGTTTTTGAGACCCTTGTGACAGAAGATAATACTGAATCCATGAATGTTCATGATGAGGTGCTTCCGCTGGATCTTTCACTGCTACAATGTCATCCGTGAATCTCTCGTTAGCTTCTTGTCTTGATAAATTTGAGGTGAAATTGCTTGTGAATTTCAATGGATCTGAATGCATGAATTGTGTGAGTAGGGTTGGTTAATTAAATTTCTAGGTAGTGGAATTAATACTTGGTTTCTGAACAATGAAATGGATATGCGACTTCTGAGTAGTAACTACTCATATAGGTGGAAGTGGTGAGTAGTAACTACTTATATCCTTTAATTTCTCATTGAGACTACAAATATAATAGTCATATTGGATAATAAACCTAAAAGCCCAAATATAAAATAAGCTCAATAACACTTAAATAGATTAGGCCTTTTTATTAAAAAAGTCTGGCGTGGTCTGACCTCGAATAAGCTAGGTCATAGGCCCTTATAGATCGACTTGGTTTATTCCCATCCATATAGACAATTGCATAAACTGATTTATAATGTCCCCCATTTTTCAAGTTTGATATGGTCTCATTGTTGTTTATTTGATCAAACATGAAACACAACTTTGTGATAATATATGGGTCAATATCAATATTCTTGCTGATAAAAGTAAAAAAAAAAAAAAAAAAAAAAGTTTCCTTAATAATAATAATATTCAAAAGAAAAACCAAAATGTTGGCTAAAAATATATCTGAAAAAATCTATTCTATTATTAATTTCATTCCTTGTATCATATATGTATAGTTGGCCAAATTTAGATTTCTGACCAAGCAAGTGGAGCAGCATACTTCCTATTCCGTTACATGGTTGACCTTGAATTCTTATGATAGGGAAGTCTTCTCCCTTAAGATAATTTTTTGTCAATTTTTAAAATCTTGAGACGTAAATGCAAACATTATATTATATAATTTTGTGTTCAACTAATAGTTTTTGCTATCAGATGATTCATTGTTAAATAGAAGATGTTGAATAAATTGTAGTGGATATTATTGCAAGGTTGCTAACAACACTTGATTCCAGAATATCTAATTGGTTCCCATAGGATGAGAACAATCACTGTTATTATTGTCGCGGTGAATTCATTGTGAAGTAGATGCAGTACTGTTAGATATATTAATCAAGTTCAAACCAAATATATATATTATTTGAAATATGAAATCTTTATTAGTGGAGTATTTATATACGCAATAGACTTTTCAATGCAAGTGTTAGTGATTTTGCTCAATGTTGTAAGTGATGTTATGTTTGATTTCAAATTTGGAAGACTTTAAGTTTTCTTTCTCTTCCATGATTTAACACCCTATTCTTTATTTTATTATTTTTTTACTTGTTAAAAAAGTATAATGAGATAGCTTTGTGTTTGTAGGATTTTTTGAGATGTTTAAGGTATTTAGACAGCATATAGGACAAGCTCACGCAGAGTGGTGAGAAGTTAGATTTGTGTTTCTATAATAAATTGGGGATCTCTCTCTGAGTGGTATATATAGAAGGATTTATGGGTTGGTTAGTGGGAGTAGTGAAAGACCAGTTCTTTCTCCCATTATAGGGAAAACAAGTTCCGCCTATGATGTGTTTGCCTGATTCTCTATCACTTATTGTGTGAACACGTCATTACCCGTGTTTTATTAAGCGAATAGATGATAAGCTAGTTCAATGGCCCAAGCCCAATCTAGATGATTTATAGCATATTTTGTGCTATCTACGGTACAACTTTATGAACCTGCTTGTATGCTCGTCTGACGCCCTTTTTTTTTAGCTTATCCTTCTTATTTATGGACCATCATGCTCGTCTGACGCCCTTTTTTTTAGCTTATCCTTCTTATTTATGGACCATCTTTTCTTAGGCCGAGTAAAATAATCCCAATAACATTTCCTCAAGCATGTGGTCTTGGAAAAAGCAAAGTGATTTAATCCAAGAAAAGGCAGTTTACTTTTGGGTGAAACTTTGTAAAGGTGAGTTCCTCGTGCGAGATTTTAAGTTGAATCTCTCAGGAGAGACTTTAAATTGAGTCTTTCATAAGAGACTTTAAGTTGAGTCACTTGGGCAGAACTAAGTTAAGTCTCTCAGGAGAGACTTTAAATTGAGTCTCTCAGAAAATACTTTAATTTGAGTCTCATAGGAGAGACTTTTAGTTGAGTCCTTCAGTCAAGACTTTAAGTTGAATCTCTTATGAGAGACTTTAAGTTGAGTCCATTAGGAGAGACTTTAAGTTAAGTCCCTCGTGCGATACTTTAAGTTGAGTCTCTCACGCGAGACTTTAAGTTAAGTCCCTCGGGAGAGACTTTAACTTGAGTCTCTCAGGCAAAACTTTAAATTGAGCCCCTCAAACGAGACTTTTAGTTGAGTCTCTCCAATGAAACTTTAAGTTGAGTCTCTCCAATGAGACTTTAATTTGAGTCCCTCAAGTGAGACCGCATAAAGGCCAGATTGTTCAAGTCAGGCCATTTCTTTTGTTTTGTTGCCCGTTAGAGGGACATTGTAGCATTGCCTTCGAGGATCTCTCTAATGTGTATGTTTATTGTTTTCCTTTTACTGTTGTTCCTCGATTTGGCGAAGATTCCTTGTGAGACTTAGCCTTGAGAGACGGTTATAATTTCCACTCGTTGTTCGAACGAGATGGCCTCTTCATAGGGCGAACTCGACTCAACGAGTAATAAGGTATGGGAAAGGCGAGTTGGTTTAAATTTGTGAGACATTTGACTAAAGAGCACACCCATAAAAGAGGGGCAAGTTTCTCAAGTGTAGTGCTAGAGAGAAAGTCCCTCAAGCGTCGCAACATTTGACTAAATAAATCTCTCGCCGGTGAGTCTCTTGAGCGTTGCTTGTAGGCGAGTTCAATTTGTCTTGGCGAGGATTCCAATAGTAAGTTTTCTGATAAGGCGGAAACAATCCTTCACTAAAGGTCCAATAATCATATTGCCTCTTAAAGCAGCAAGGATCTTTTAGTAAAGGTCTAATCTATAATCGCCTCGTAAGACAGCAAGGATCCTTCAATAAAGGTCCAACGTATAATCTCTTCGTAGGACAGTAAGGATCCTCCAGTGATGGTCCAACGTATAACTGTCTCATAGGACAGCAAGGATCCTTCAATGATGATCCGACGTATAATTGCCTCATAGGACGGCAAAGATCCTTCAATGAAGGTCCATTGTACAACTTCCTGTAGGGAGACAAGAATTCTTAGTGAAAATATAACATACAATTGACTCGTAGGAAAACAATGAGCTTCCAATGAAGGTTCAACATACAATTGTCTCGTAGGGTGGCAATGATCCTTATTACCCCATAGGGCAGCAATGACAGTCTCTTTCGCAACGTTTACTCATCTGTAGTTTATCTTCTTAACAAATTAGATTCCTAAGACTAACCCACAGTCTTGACAATATGAATGGATGTTAGCCATGCTGATAGTCATTTATCTTTCTACAATTGTGATAATGTGAGAGTGACTCTGACTTGAGTAGTGAGCATAGCAATATACTTTCTTAAACTCACTTTCTCTTTTATGGAGAAACTATGTTACCAAACTAGACATATTTAACTATTTAAGGTTTCTTTAAGGGCTAACAAACTATGTTACCAAACTAGACAAATAATATGCATCATTGTGACAAACATTTTTCTATGTAATGGTCTATATAGTATAGAATACAATCCAATATACATATAACTGTGTGGTAGTCAACAATCTTCAATTGCCTTTGCTTTATTCTCTTTTCTCCCTCATATTTCTATACTAAATGTTCTGCTTCTATCAGCCTCCAGCAATAAGCATTTTATTTTGTTCTCTTAACTGAAATCTCCAAGTACAGACTGTCCAAAAAAAATCACAAAATAACTAACAACTTAGACTAAGAGTGTGTTTGTATAAACAGCTAAATTAAGAGCTTATAGTAGAAGTGTTTATCATATTTGAAAGCACGTTATCGGCATTCAAGAAAAGCTTATGATATATGAAGTTACCATGTTAAGAAGCCTCAAAGCAGCAGTCCTAGTAAACTTTCTTGCGAAAAGGAAGCAAGTTGATGGTTTACCCTTGCTTGTACACCATTCTCTTCTGTATTCAGTTTCGTAGTAAATATTATCTATTTCCTGCAAACAAATCAAAAACTGACAATCATATTCAAGAGTCCGCGGCATCTCTATTTGAGCTATCCTAGTATGGTTCAACAACAATGTTGTCGGCCGCAGAATAATAATGACTTGTTCAAATTTCACTACGTTAATTTCTCTTTTTAAAGTATTGTTCAAACCTTTATAAATTTTATAAGCATCGGAGTAGCGTCTGAGAATTTGTAAGTCACTGGATGCCATCCGCGACGCTCACGGTCTCTTGTGTTGGAAATATCCCAGGCAGTATGTGTCACCGACCTTCGTGTGAGCTCCTTTTCAAAGTCTTTTTGCTAGATTCAGTACGAAAAACACAACAACAAAAAGTTAATCAAAAGATGGTGTACTCGGGTTGAAAGAAGTGCAATAGTGTTCAGAGAAAGGTAAAGAAAAGATTCTTACAGCCAGCAATGTTTGAACATAGTGTTCATCTGGTATACAGTTATGTATCTTAGACGTGTCAGCGGGCTGCACGAAGAAAATAAACATATTGAAGCTAACGCGATAAAATGAAGACATCCTTAAATAAATTTGTTTGTATAGAGTGCTTACAATGACTTGATCCCTCCAAAATTCGGGGTAGCGGCTTTTTCTGCATTTAGAGATGAAAAGAAGAATAAGGCTATCAACATAAAGATGCACAACATTCTTCAACAACAAATCCAATGTTTTCGATGAAAAATTTGAGATGGGACTTAAGAAAATGTTTTTATGATCCATGTGGCACTTGCATAGACCTCGGCGGCTCATAAAAGACAGTTTATCAATGAGACATGTCACCTATTACCTTGCAGTATTTTTGAAACATAGGAAAGACGGTTTCGTCCTCGACTACAACCTTTGCATGCTTCCTAGTCAGAACAGCCCACTGCCGGAAAATTCATAAATATAAGGGTATAAAATGGTAAAGAATGTGATGCATTTTAAGATTAAGAAGTAACTTCTATAGTAAACGACACGTTATGTTAGATTTCTTACCTGAGATCCTTTTCTCCAGTTATAGACCGGAATAACTGGATCCATTTTTGGATTGTAACGACCTCCTTTTGTATCAGCGAAGCTGTATAACAGCGAATTTATAACAAACAACTTTAATAACGTTCGTTGAATTGAAAGTATAGAGCATAAGGCAAGTATTTATACTAACTCACCTGTCGACGAAACTAGTTGGTGTTGACATGATGTAATCGTACGTGTAGCTGAAGTTGTATAATGGTATACAGCTGAAAAGAAAATCAATCAACTGAAATATAGTAAGGTGCTAGCTCAAAGATTGATAAATTTCAATGGTTATTTATTTCTTCTATCAAAATGCATGCATGTAGTGAGTACTTATAAATGGTCGAAGTTTACAGTTGTTAACAAAATTATACCCTCACCTATCTGAGAGGAAAACAAAGCGATCATTTAAAGGATCGCCGAGCGCATGTCTAAGTAAAATGCGCTCGGCCTCTATCATGCTTGCTTCTCCCCAATCTACCTGCAAAGAGATCATGTCAACCATAACGATTTATTGATTCCAATGCACAAAATAGCAAAGGGAGATGGTTGATAACAAAAACAAATTTGGTTTTAAAAAGAGAGAAAGAAGAGAAACCTGTATGCTATTATTAACTTGACGGTTCAAAAAATATGATGATCTAGTTGTTGCTTCGTTCAACACAAACCCTGGTCTAGGGTGAACGAGAATCGAGAAATTGTTATTGCCTCCCTGAAAATACAGCATAAATGTTTCTATAAAGCATTAATGAACATCTTTCGTGTTCATCACCAAAGAACCCTATAGGCACGCATCTAACCTCTTCGAAAACTACTATTAAGCTCATCAATGTGCAATGTATCGAACACGAAGGGATACAGCAGCGCGAAAGACTAAAAGAACCATACCATCTTACCATAAACAGTTTCCCCTACATTTTACTAATCAATGATTACTAAATGCATTTCATGACTTAAACCATATTGTTGAAGTTACTAAACTTACAACAATGCATCCGATCCAAGCAACATCAACACATCCCCTAAGGTGTAGCCCGGTCTTTAGATTCAATTCTTGCTAACAAACTAACCACTAACATTTTCCTATAAAAATGTAACATCATTGCATTACACGAAACAAAGCATCCGATCCAAGCAACATCAACACGTCCCCAAAGGTGTAGCCCGATCTTTGGATTCGTTTCTTGCTAACAAACTAACCACTAACATTTCCTTATAAAAACATATCATCAACACATTACACGGAACAAAGCGCATCTCGATAACTATCCAACGGTATCTCAAAGTGTCACAAGTTCTTAGTTTCTAACTAAGCCTCCTACTAATCACCAAGTCCACACACACACGGGCGCCGGTGCACAAACACGAGATTACAAAAACATAAATAAATGACATAGAGATCAACAATCTTAATAATTAAGAAAAAAGAATGTACCCTAAAGAATGCATCCCAAACCATTTCCAAAGGAAGCCTATTTCTTGCAATGAAGAGAAAAGCAATCTTTGGTATCTGAACTTGAGATTGAGAAACAAATTGATGTTGCAACGAAACAAGCCCCAAAACATGAGTATACCTCATCTGCATAAACAACAAACTTCCAAAACAAAGCACCACCACTAAGATCAAACCAAAAACCTTCTGCTTCCATCTTTGCTGAACAACCTTCTTCTTCATATTCTACCACAACCCTTTTCAAACTAAAACCGACCCACCATTTCAAATTGACTCAAAAGCTAAATCACTTTAAAAAAAACCAAACTTTAACATTCATTTCAACTTTGCACCACTCAGAAGTTGAAGATCAACCAGATCCATAGCAACCCAATAATCAAAATTCAAAAACTCATAAACCCAATAGCCTAATTAAGAGTTTAGCAAGAAAGTTGTTGAAATACTATAATGTCTATCCAGAAAGCAAGGTTGAAGTGAGGGTGTGGACAAAAAGTTTCTAGAGTCTTGTGAATTGCTACAAAAAGTGAAAGTGTTAAGTGTGAGTGTTAAGAGTGAAACAAGATTTGTTTTTGTGTTTTGGGTATATTAAGATTGAAGAGTGTGTCTTCCTTTTTGTAACTTAGTTGAGATGTCTCAAAGTTAGTGCTGTTTTTTTTCTTTCTTGTTGCGTCCGAAGTTGGCGAGTTAATAATTTTTTTATTAATTATTCTTTTTGGAGATCAAAATTTTGATGTCATACAAAGTTTTCTTTGATTTTTATATGTATTTCTTGAATTACATGCAAGTTTTAGAAGATACTAGAAAAAAGAAAAATTATTGAAATTTAAATTTAAAATATATTTATATAAATCAAATATATTTTATATTTAATGTTTTAATATAATATTTTTTGTGACTCCTCTTATATAAATGTTTATAGATAAAAAGATTTTGATAGATCAATATTATTTAATTTAACATTTTTATATTTTTGCAAAATAAAATCAACCATTAATAATCAAAAGTCATCCTTCAGCAATAATGTATAATCTTTTATAAAAGAAATTAATTTTCTTCACAACAAATTAAATTATAAACTTCTCACTAAGTATTCATTGAATAAAAAAACTAAAAAATATTCATTTTTTTTTCTATTTGTAAAACTAGCATGGTGTCTTGGGTCAAATTGACCAATCCCATTGAGTCTTGTGCAATAGTATATTGAAGTCTTTATGTTTTTGTTTTCTTATAAATTATTCTTGTTTTACAACATTAAAGAAAGATGCGGAAGTTGGCAACTAGAATGAGGAACTTGGCAACTAATATTGATTTGGTGAATTTGTAACATGCCTTTTTGTGAATGGTAGGCATGTTGACTTGATAAGAGTTTGGTGTTGGATTGGGGAAGTAGTACCTAATGAAGGTTGTTTGTAACTGACAAATAATTATGAGCAATTAGTTACAAGAGTTTTGATCAAATGCATGCAACTTGGAAACATTTATAGTTTACATTTTTTGCTAACATTTTTGTCCTAGCTTTTTAATACTACTATTTATGAACTCACTTTGATTTTCCTCGATGATGATTTTTTTTTTTAATAAAAATAATATTGGTTTGGTGGTATATTTTATGAAGTGCTGACACATTACATTGCACATGGGAAAAAGTTGTAATTTTGTTACTTCTGTTTTCATCAAGTTGGTCACTATGAAGCAATGTTTAAAGATATTATTTGTAATTATTTGTAAAATAAAATTCATTTGTATTTCAAATTACTATTGGATTAAAATCAATTAACACAGTAAAAATTTACTAAAATTATTAAAAATACACCATGGAATTTACTATTAGTAACTCCTGCATGGTCATAGAAAATATTGTTTTAAACCACACCAGAATATAGGCTCAATGATCATTCACAGACTAGTCATCCAGAACAAGATCAGTACAAATTCATAAAGTCCATATGGTTACAATCAAATTCATAAAGAATTACATCTGGAGAATAATGATATATGCTTTTAACAGGGAGAAATAAATATCAAGACAGTAAATTTTTTTGGATTAAAATTAATTGTCCACTAAATAAAATTACATATCAACAAGGATGAAATAAAATATGAATACAAAGTGCCCAGCATGGTAGATGAACTATGCCTACATAGAGGTAAGTAGCACTGTTCCATGTCCAAAGGGATTCCACCCAGTTCCAATACTCATCAACTTTAATACCATAAGTATCTTCAAATGCGCCTTTTATTAAAAAATATGCTACCGGAGGAAACACAACAAGACCTAGAGCAAGATTACATGTGGCCCTCAATAAGGTTCTTAAACTTCTGGATCGAATATCAAGCTTCAACGGTTGAGCCATCAAACAAATTGGAACAATGAGTAATGCCCCGATTTCAGCTGTAGCAAAGTTAATGACTGACATGAGAGATAACCCAATGAAAGTGGTAGCTATTGTTACAGACTTTAAGCTAGCCCATTCGCCTTTCTCGGGTTGGGATGTAGCAGATTCGAAAATCGGAGAACCCAATACGAAGTATAAAATTAGGAGGCTAGAGGCTGATAGTATACCCCACACTGTAAAGTTTGTTGTTGGGGTGGAATTAGGTATTTGATATAGGAAATATGGGAGTAAGGAAACAACTGCACCCCATAAATGAATGGCCAAAACCTTTCTCGCTGAGTTCAGCCATTTCCAAGATTTGTACTTGACAACAACTTCAGAGGAAGATGAGGATTTGCTCGCTTCGGAATAGAGAGATCCCGCAACTATTGGAAGTGGTGCAACAAGTAATGCAAATGGAATCATGTAAACTCCTACAGACACAAATTTACTAGAAGATGTCAAGAGGTACAAAAAGAATGACTGGTGGAACTTCTCAAGAAGGTTGTTTATTGAGCGTATGACTCCTTCAATCAACCTGCAACAAGTAGCACATTCTTTGCTGAGTGATCAAACTGAGAAAATTTCTGACTATGTGCTTTGGTATAAAGTACACAAGCAGAGATATAGATTATATAAATTCATAAAATGTTAAAAGCTAAATAACATAATATTCTATACAGTTAAAGTCTTTACATGATATATGATAGTAAAACTTTGCCATCACAATCACACCAAATATACAATGTATAACACTGTTGATACTTCTTAACCCGATATCCATATTACCAAATTCATTGTTGGATGAAAGTTACTATCATATAGATCATGTCTATAAAATGTAACATCAATCGGAAATTATTTGATATGTCAATGAAATACATAAAGAGTAACATCTTACGAAGTTTTATCAAACAAGTTAATTTTGATGTATCTTATTGGCATAGCATAACAAATGGTTTCCGATTAATTTAAAATTTTATAGACATGATCTTTATGATAGTAGCTTTAAATCCATCAGTGGTTTTTGTTATACAATTATACAGTAAAGAATTATCGGGGATGTCATATCGGGAGGTGTCAATTGCAAAACTTCTACATGTTTCCATTGATAGCCTGCTATTTCTTCCAAGATTGTTATAAGTAACACTTGGATGAGTGACACATACCTTCCACCACGGAGAATAAATTCATTACGACTGTGACTGATCATTTTATAAGGAGAAACTTTTGGTGAAATTTCAAGAGTGATTGCGTCAACTTGATAATCACGGAAGGCACCATGAGGACCAGTGGGAACACCCAACCCCTGGGAGGAATGATATACAGATAAATAATGTTATAGTGATAACATAGTACACATGCGCGCGCACACACACACGCGCGGTTTAGATGAAGTAAAAGTAAAATACCTGTAAATACAATGAACTTGCCAGTGTAGCTGCACCCTCAACATACTCAGTAGCAGAAATACCAAACTTCCATTGAGGATTCAAGCTCCTAGCAATTTGTCCCAGAGATTCCAAAATACCACCCAAAGTATTAAGCCACCTGGAGCCAAATAGAGAAAACATCTTATTCACCTTTACCCGCAAACCGCGTTTATGGGCTCCGAGATAATTAACAATATTGATGAGGTCGAGGTTTGGCATCTGCCCATTTGACGCCTCAGGGTAGATATTAAGAATGTCTTCATGACGGTTACCTTGCTCAGCAACTTTTATTACAAGAGCTGCAGCCATAGTTCCAGCACGTCTAAAACCACTGTATAACTTCCTATCGGAAGAAGGATTCTGTCCAACTTCATTGATAGCATTGCAAGTTTCACTATTATCTATGTCAGCTTCACGGAATGCAGGAGCATGGTATTCTCTTAGCCAAGCATCCACTGCCGAATATTCTCCGTATTGTGAATCTGCCACAAGCCATATGACGTCCTTTGCCAACCAAGTAACCCGTGAAAGCAGTGAGAACACCGAGTAAGCAATGCCCAAAGACAAAGCCTCTCCCGGACCAACTTTCCTTGGATTGTAAGGCGTTACCAAGACAATAGATTCCTTGCCATCACCCCGTGGTGCTCTAATAATTCCAGCAATGTTGATTCCAAGTGATGAACAGCTTATATTTTTTGAGACTATACCCGAATCGGGACTTGTGAAAAAGTGCAGTGGATTAAACTGATTCAGTTGAGGATGGAACTTGTGATAAGTAACCTCGGCATCCAACGCCGACATATACTGTGCAATAATTTCATGACTTTCACTGCATTGAAACACATAGAAAATGTTATATTTCATTTACTCAATTTCCTCTTATTTCTTGTCAGACCAACTATCCCTTTCTTTTCCTCCCAACCAAACAAACACTACCATCAGTGCTTGATCAGTTAGGTGTTCATGAAATTTCAATTCATGGTTTAGTCGAAAGATTTCACTCGTGTAGCTTTTGCTCATTTGGGCAGAACTTCCAAAGGCCACAACAAACTACTACTCATGCAATATCTACGACTCTACCTCTAATCTCTATGACTTTTTTCACAGAAAACCCATTAAACAGTGTACATAATACTCCCTCCATTCCTTTTTAATTGTCACTTTTTGACTTTTCACACATACCAAGAAAACTTATGTTGTTACTTTTCATGCTATGATTTTTCTTTTGTCTATAAAACCCCTAACTTTTAATTATTTCGATATACTTTTTCTCTCTCCATAATAAATAATTAGGGATAATTTTGACAAAACTATAATCACTACTACATTGAACTTTGCAAGTGACAATTAAAAAGAAACATAAATTTTTCATAAAAGTGACACTTAAAAAGGAACGGAGGGAGTATATATTAAT